GTTAAAGAATGTTTTAAACAAGAAAAACTAAAAAAAAGCCTAAACTAAAACAAAAATATTATAAAATAACTAAACAAAAAGACAAAAATAACAAGGTTTACTCAAAAATATCAATAGAAAAACAATAATTTTACTATAAAAACACAATAAAAATATCATAAACCCACTATATATTCAATATAGAATTACAGTTTATTATGAAATAATAAGGCTTTTAATACAAGAAAATAAACAAAGAGAAGGGTCAAATATACTCTAGAGCGATGTAAATATTCAAAGGATTAATTAGAGAGCATATATTGATGTTCCTCTACCTTGGGGAAAAGGCAGGGTTTATATATCTTTTGATAACGCCGTATAATAACGATATGTAATAATGCTAGGAAATAATACTATAAATCATTATATTACTAATGTCAATCATTGCAAATTATTGCAATAATACTATATACTATTATTTTGGTTAGTGTTTGTAGTCGATTTTGTGTTAGTCGATTTTATTGACTTAGCTGGCTAAGCCAGCCGATTTTTTGAAAAATCGACTTAGTGTTAGTCGATTTAATACTGGGTCATATAGAAATTATAATAACCAATCAAATTTTACAAAAAAAAATGCATAATAATGATAAATAAATTCGCATTCAATCGGGTAGCAGATCAAAGTCGCTCATATACGTATGTATATACATTATCAAGAATTCCAATTTTATAAAATTTTATATAATAATGCGCATGCATTCACATAAACTGGTTTTCTTAATCAGGAAGATAATTACTAGTATAACTGCATATGGATTCAGAATATCGCCCATGATGATACTTCTTGATTTCTCTGACAATGATGCAACAAATTATGTATGCTGACCTGAAGATTATGCACAAGGTCCAAAACCCTATTATTACAAGCTATATTATATACTGATCACATAGATACGCATCACTGTAAACATAGTACTGGTACAAGTCTTCTGTTATAATATTAAACAACAATGTATTCAATAAAATGACAAAGATCAAATAAATAAAAATGAATTTTTTGTTCGATAAAATTTTTTTAATGCAAATTCATATACCCCAGACCATTCATAATAATTGAACTTCTTTGCTCTAAAAAAAATATATTTATGACATGATCCACGCCATTCTAGCTATAACAAACTCTTATTAAAGACTCGGCATAATAAGAATTCGGAATCAAATATTCAAACAGTATTGTCAATTGGGCTAAATACGTAGACATATTTTTAATCAAAATTGAACAGATGTCTAATTTCGTGTCTGGTTGCTAGATCTAGTCTAATTGATAAAACGCATATAGTATTCTCTCAATGTAAGATAACTACATTAATGAAAGTTTCTTATATAATACTATAGCTGCAAAATATTATACTAGCATATAAGGATGTGAAATCTAGTTTGGGGTATAGGAAAATTTTTGGCTGACTTCGGTTTCTAGAATAAGCATACCGTATTTGCGTGAATTAATGCCCATAGGTGTTATTTAGAGACATGCAATTCAAAGAGAACAATAATTAATTTAGCTGAAGGTTTTTAATACGTAACAAAAAACTATGAATTAAATTCGGCCAAATTAATTATTAATTCTCTTTAAATTGTATAGCTCTAAATAACGCCTATGAGCGTTAATCTGCGTAAATATGGTATTCTCTGGCCCAAAAAACCCTGAAACTGAACCTTAATAAATAATTTGGTTTAAATAAATATGTACAAAAAAAAAACTAATATAATGCATCGAAATTTGTATTGCCGCTCTTACCATTACATAAAATTAAAGACCAAGCTATATAATTATTATAAGTTCTGGTATAATCCGTCCCTTAAAAATGTTTAATGACCAATTGTTTGATGATGTTACTGGTGAAGATAACATGTCATTCGAGTATGAAGGGATCTCTAATTTTGAAGGAATCTCTAATTTTGAAAATAATCTTTATAAAAATGTTGTTAGTGATGAAAATATTATTGATGATGAAAATGTTACTGATGATGAAGATGGTGGCCATACTGAGGATGAAGAGAATAATACAACAGGATCTTTGCCTATTACATCTTACTTTACCTCCTGTGAAGGTCCTACAAAAAAAAGCTCAAACCTAAATGTAATGCAAAAAAAAAAAACAAAACCCGGAAGCAGCTGGGTATGGAAATATACTCGTCGTGATAAAGCAACAAAAGTCAAACATTGTGATGTTTGTATATATAATGATGATGGTACTTTTAAAAAGTGCACAACAGTGTTTATGTCTAGAACATCAACAACTAATATAGCTGCGCACTTGCGTACTGAACACCAAATTTTTAAAACTCAAAAATGGGAAGCACAACCACCCCTAACATCAACTACAATTCCCACAGCAACCAATCAAAGAACAATTAAAACAGTAATACAAAAGCACATTGAAAACGTGTCGCCACTTCCTGAAAAACAGCAAAATCATATTGCTTATCGGCTCGTTGCTTGGATAGTGGAGGAGATGATGCTATTGAATTGTATTAATCATGATCGGTTCCGAGACTTCTGTTATGAAATTAATCGACGATTTCAAGTTCCCTGTACTAACACAATTAAAAACTTAATTAAAGAATCAGCACTTTATACACATGCAACATTAAAGAAAATGATGTCCCAAACGATGGTTTCTGTTTGCATTACTACTGATTTATGGACCCAAAATCATGTTCCATATATCGGCATAACAGCCCACTGGCTTTCTGAAAGTTTTACAATGTACCAATCCTTAATCACAATTGAGCATTTCGCCTATCCACATATAGGAGATCGGATTGAAGATTTTTTGTGCAAAATTCTTGCTGAATGGAATATGTTTGATAAAGTCAAAGTGGTAATAACTGATAATGCAACGTCAATGGTTAAAGCAATCAGACAATTAGGTATCACCCACCTTGGCTGTACAGCCCATACCATTCATCTTGCAGTCACAGACGGTTTAAAAAAAAATAAAGCTTTGATTTTACGTACAAAATCATTAAACAATTTTTTGGTAAACCGTGATAAATATTGATCGTTATTCCGAAAAATTCAGCACGAGATAATTGAAAAAAAAAAAAAGAAAATCAATGCACCACCGATATGCGTATTTTAGAACTCATATCAAGTGATATAGCTACTAGGTGGAATTCCACTTATCTTGTTCTTCAGCGGCTTCTAGAACTTCGAGAATCAACTTTAGAATTGGCGAAAAGTTTGGAAAATGATCCTGACCGTACTATTCATGCCGATGGTTTTAGTCTAAATGAAAAGATGCTTTCTGATGAAGAATGAACAGGTAGAAAAAAAAAATCAAAGCATGAATATATACCTTACTGATAAATTATTAGACTATATAACTTTTTGTTCTCATAAGATTTTAAAATGTAACCTGGCGCTGGGCTTTTAATTTTATTTTAAAAAATTATAAGAATAAAAATTTTTGTTTTAATTTTTATAAAAGACTACCCGGATAGCAAATATATATAAAATTGCTTATTAAGTATAGTAAAATTTGGCCTTGCCATGTTATGAGAACAAAAAAAAATTAACTTTGCTTGGCCTTATTAATAAAAAAAATTTTTTTTACTCTTACGCATAGGCCTAGTAGAGTTATGCCAACTCTTACGTCCATTTGCAAGAGCATTGACATTCATAGGAGGCGATCAGTATCCAACGTTGAGTATGATGTATCCAACAGTGCGACACCTTTTTAAAAATTTAGATTCAATAGAGAACAAACTTACAAATATTGAGGTTATTGAAATGTACGAAGGTCTTTGTGAATCAATGGTATCTCGATGGAATGATCCAAAAATGGTCAGATGGCTTGCTTCATTTCTAGATCCCCGCTTCAAGACATTGTCAGCTGCCTCATCCACAACGCAGCAAGAGGTGCTCTGAGAATTACGTGAAGAAATTGAATCTAATAACTTACCAACTACTAATAAAACTCTAGATATGGAAATGTCTTCTTTTTTTGACGACGGAATTGAACCTTCATCCTCTTCTTCAATTGACACCGAAATTCAAATGTACCTCTCAATTCCGCAAATCTCTAAATATGATCCAAAAGATCCGCATTATAAAAAGTGTAATCCCTTAAGATGGTGGAACGAGCACAAAAGTGACTTACCTCTTTTTGCAGAGCAAGCACAGATTTTTCTTGGCATTCCAGCAACCTCTGTACCTTCTGAACGACTCTTCTCCGATGCAGGTAATACCGTAACAGATAAACGTAACCATCTAAGTCCTGATTCAGTTCATGATCTATTATTCTTAAAAGAAAACAAAAATAATTAACGTATACGTTGGTTTATAAATTGTGCACAAGGAACAGTGACACATGTCGTCCTACGGCTCATACACCAAAAGGTTAAAAAAAAAAATTGTGCGCGAGAATAAATTTAAAATTAAAATAGATTTTTTTTTTTATTTTATAAATTTTGATTAAATAAAAAAAAACTATACACACAGTAATTGATCGTTTAGATCATTTTTCCAAGAATGTATAAAGTATATTGCAGTTGATCGACCAATCATATCTATTTAAAATCACGTGCTCTGAATTAACCAATTAGGTTGATCGACTCCAACTTAGCCGGCTAAGCCGATTTTTAAATATCGACTTAGTCAAGTCGATAAATTAGGATCGACTACAAACACTAGGTAAAATAAAGTCTTAGCTTTGTAAAAAATTTTAATTATTAACGTTAAGATCTTATAACTTTGACCGAAATTAACGTGATATAAAATTTTATTAATGTGAGATAATCGAGTCTGATGCAAGCACGTAATGCGTACTTAATTACTATTTTGGCCACAGATGGCCACAAATGAATACCAAGTATAGCTGTTCGTGAGTGTGAAACGGAGTACACCATAAAAAAAAACTCTTAACTGTTAGTATCTGGAATTAGCCAGTAAACCTTAATCACTTTTTGCCATCACAGACGCTAGGTGTACTATAACGAAAATTTTTATAACCAATATGACAAAAGAAAAAAAGTCAAAGTCAGCAAAGGCCAAAAAAAGTCACAAGAACAAGCATAAGCTTTCGTACAAAGAACCTTTCCTTGATGGTAAATATTTTTTTCCTCTTTTTTTCAAAGATTAGATTAAATTTGTCACTGCGGCTTCAGATTTCAAAATCTTTCGGTTTTTTCGTTCGAATCTTACATTTTTTTCGTAAAGTTGTTTTGACCCTATAAAATTATATTTATGATTTTTTTTCATAAGATTAGTAATAAGCGAAGTACGAAAAGCTAACAACAGCTAATTTATTTATTTCATATTTTAAAGAGGTCCCTACACGAATTAGGCTTTCATTAAAACAGAACGCCGATACAGGCAAAAATAAGTCAAAATCGAAGCGTTCAGAAGTTTCTGACGATGCACTGGAAGGAAGTGAATTCGACATAGAGATGCGGGATGCAGTTGTGGATCATTATGATTATGAACAGGATACTGTAAATGATATTAATGATTCCACACTAAATATTAACGTTGGAGAGACTGGCAATACGAAAATAGACACATCTAAATCTTCGACAACTAACTCAAACAAGATGGTCTTGAAGCTAAAATTCAACTTAGACTCACCACCCCCTACTACGAAAAAGCATAAGCACAAACACAAGCATCATAGGGAACAAGCTGAAAGTTCTTCACATTCACACAAAAAAGCTACCGGCAAACGTACGACGCGCGATTCTTCAAATGATGAGTCTGATAAAAATGTCGATCTATTCAAGGAAGACGATAACAAATCTTCTCATGTACGAAAAAAGGCTAAACGCCATCACATTGATGAGAAAATTGAGATTAATGGGGAAAATAGAAATATAGAAAAATGTAGCGATAGTGTCAAGCGACATGTAGATGATAAATCCAAAAAGACAGAGAAAAGGTCGACGAATAAAGCTAACATGAATAAGTCATATACTGATAATATCGATCATGGCTTAATCGGAGACACTGTTGGAAAGCGTCTGACAGATGTTGATTATATGTCAGCTTGTGATAAGAAAGGAAAGACTATAAAAGGTGTTGTTAAAAAGGTCAAAGTCGAGAAGAGCCAAACATTAAATGATATTAAAAGCAAGGAAATATTTCAATATAGTAATAATGGTGAGAAATTAATTAATTATGAGAGCGCGAACCCTGTAAAAAGTGAAATAGACGGAGAATTTATTTTAGGCGATGAGGTCATAAAAGGAATCAATCATGATTCGAAAGAATTATTAATGCTTGAACTTGCAACCAACACATCCACATATTCGCTCCGTGAAAAACGGTCATACCCACCAGTTACGGAAGATACAAAAACAAAAGCCGATGAACGCAGTTCATCAAAAGCAGTTAAAAATACAAAAGTATTTTGCCAATCTAAGTGTGAAACTTCTACAGAAATTGTTTCGGACACAACAAATGTAGCTCCATCCATTTCGAACGAAACCCAATCATCAATACCATCCCTACAGGAAACAACCAAAACGATTACATCAGGTCCAAGCGATGTACAGAGCAGAATTATAAGTTCTGACATTGCCACAAAAGAAGATACAGTTATGTCAACATCTGTTGGCAAAAAAGGGCCAACACGCAAGCTTGGAAGACCTCCAAAATTACAAGAACCACAACGTAAAACGAATCCACGAACTTGGACATGGCAAAAAAAGAAAAAGGATCTAAAAACGATTTTAACAAAATTAATGGATTCTTTTAACAAGTAAATTGATAACTTGATTTTTACAGTTATATAGTTAATAATATTAAGTTTTTAGTTGCCGAATAATTTAAATCCTCTTAATAGGAAAGACGCGTATGGTTTCTTTTTAGAACCAGTCGATACCGCTATCGTAACTGACTACCTCACGATCATCCAAAGGCCCATGGATTTTGGAACAATGAGACAAAAAATTGAAAGGAATGAATATTCTTCCATTGACGAATTCAAGGCATGTTTTAACTTTTTCAACTAACCATGAATGCAGCATACTATTAAATGGAATACAATAGATTAATTTCTTCTTATTGCTTGACTTATTTTTCATAATAGGAAGATTTTGTTCTTGTGTGTAATAATTGTAAGACATATAATGCACCAGAAACACTTTATTATAAAAGTGCGGACAAGTTATGGCAATTTGGTGAAAAAGCAATAGAACGTGAAAGAGATAGCATTCTTTTAGAAGAGGAGAGAATGAAAGCAATGGTAATTAGTGCAGGGACAGAGATCGGACCTCGTGGAAATAAACCTAGTGGAAAAAGGGTAAATTCATCTTCCGTTGTTTATATAAGTTTATAGATTGCATTATGAATAAAAAAAATTCCTAAATTAGGCTATAAATGTTGCACAAGGCGTCGCATCTAGTAGAGGTACCTAAATAATTTTCTGGTTTTTTCATATTTGCAATTTTGCTTTTGAGTAACATTATAATTGACTCCGTTTCTATAATTTGTCCCTAAGCTTCATCTGTTTCAAGGTCAGGGAGACAAGTTCGAAAACAAAGAAGAGGGGAAGCACGTAAACAATTTGCTCCCGACGGTTCACTCATACATAGTAATATTCTATTCATTTGATGTCCATGACTATTCGATAGAAATTTATAACTAAAACTATTGATATTTCATGTTAATTCGTTAAAACAGATGATCCATTTACCTTAATTCCACAACCACCGCCCTTTGGCGAGACACCACTCCTTACAGTTATATCATCTAAAACTCAACGTCAAGGTATTATTATTTCTAGTAATTATTATTTATTAAAGAGACTGCAATAAATAAATAAATATTGTATAATATATAGCACGCTTTGAAGATTATGGTCCGTTTGCAACATTGGGGGTTGATCCACCTTTTTTCACGCCAGCAGATAAAGAATACATTTACAATATGTTTGGAGATGAGAAGGGCTATGCATACGCAAAGAGCCTTAAAGCATTTGTGGCGGATATGGGCGAAGACATGAATGTGCACGTGGATAAAATAATAGATAATTTAACTTTTGGTGTTCATAGCCTTGATCGACAAGTGTCGCATATATTGTCTAATTTAGATCCCAACAGGCCCATTGATACTTCGGTTATTATTCAAACCGAACTTGGACCTGTGAATGTGGGTGAAGAAATTGAACGAAATAGGCAACTTTCAGAGATCAAGAAGCAACAAACTGAACTAGATGTGTGGCAAAAAGATAAGATTGATTTAGACTTTTTGGTCAGTGATCAAGAAATAATAGCTATGACGAAATCGATGGGGAGTGATCAGCAAAGTTTTCAAAAAATGTTAGAACTCAATGCTCAGAATTTAAGTGAATTAATCAAGGCTAAGCAAGGTGTTGGTAATTTGGAGTCACAACAAAAAGAAAAACAACTTTGTATGTGATGAGATTTATAGTATTCCATGATATAGTTTATTTCCAACAAAATAACATTTAAGCTTCTCTAAATGTAGTTTCTGAGGTCAACATTCGACTTTTTAATCTTGTCCAGCATGTTCCAATGAATGAGATATCTTCAAGTACATCTTCCCCATCGCATTCAAATGCAATTTCCAGGATACAACCATTTGCACAAGATCAAATTCGTCCACAAGTACAGTCATGTATTTCTGACCAAACGACCATATCGTCGTTTTCGCAAGCGCAGCCGCAAATATTGCCAAAACGTTCTTCTAGTATTAATTCCACACCAGCTCTAATCTTGCCTAATGTCGAGCAAAATGATACAATCAGTGCATTAGCGCCTGCCTCTATTTTGCACGATAGCGCATCCAATATTCTGGCCTCTATGAGAGTGCGTCAAAAGCCATGCAATTATAATCCGGGTATGTGTCATATAAATTGTTTGAATGAAAATACCTATTCAACTAAGTATACTAAATTTACATATTTCTATTCTAAAATAGCTGGAAAATGTGCTAATTGCCAAACCACTGATACGCCGGGATGGCGGGCAGGTGAGACACCTGACCAAAAACTCTGCAACGGTATTTATTATCAGCCGACGTTTTCCTTTGTGCAATTGCATTAAGCATCGAGAGTATTGAGTATCGAATCCTTCTTTTCACATTTAGCGTGTGGCCTGTATTATGCGAAGAACCGATCACACAGGCCGTCAAATTTGTGGAATGTTCGTTAAGAGATCCATTGTTTTTTTTTTTTTTTTTTTTTTTTTTGTAAAATAAAGAGAAAAAAATCAGGATTTTATAAATAAATATATTTTTGTTAGTGTATTTTACTCTGAATTTTACTCTGAATATCAAACTTAGTTTATTTCATGAGGTTTGTTCTGACCAATACATGTGCAAAGACTTTTCACATATGAAATTTTGTTAGAAAAAAAAAAAATTTTTTAATTAAATACAGTATGAAGTCCAGTCACATCAAATTTTTAAAACTGCTAAGTATTTATCTTAAAGTATACAAGCATAATAAATAATAAAAAATATATATACTACGTATATTAAAAACTAAAAATATTAAATAGTATAAATGTTTAAAAAAAATTTTGTAGAGTATTAAAACTAAAAAATATTATACAAAATATAAAGTAAATGCGAGTATTTTGGGTATTATGACGAATTGAACATATGGGTAGGGTTGTTAATGGACTTATGTCAAAAAAATTCCGGGCTGCAGATTATTTCCGATCTGGTTTCGAGCTCCGATTCTAAATAAATCGGAATTTTTGTTTTACAGTACGGGACAGCAAAAAACATCCATTTTTTTTATACAAAGTGCCAAATTTACAATTATTTAATCAATTTTGATTGGTTAATTTTACATAAAAAATTTTAATTGATTAAAAAAATATAAACTATTTTTTTTATATAGTAAACGCCAAATTTTTAATTTTTAATAATGAGCATTAAGGCCAGACCAATTAGATTCTCTGTTTTACATTACCTCCTTCCTAAAGTTCTCCACTTCCATTATAGTAAAAAAATTTAGATAAATATATATAGGACTTTGGGTTATTTCAGAAAATTGAAAAAATTTTTTTTTGAAAAAAATTTTTTTAAAATTTTACTATATAAACTACTCCTCCTTGAAGGGGAGAGGGGGGTAATGTAAACAGAAAATCAACTTGGCTGGCCTAATCAATAAAATTGCCAACACATAACTTGTACTAAATATGATTGGTTAATTTCGTTGTGCCAAATTTCTGCTTTATTAATAAAATTATCAAACTTTGATCTTTTATAATTTTTGTAAAAAGCAAGTTATTAAAAATTTGTCTTACAAACTTGTAGTTTAGTTTATTTGATGATCCTGCAGTCAACAAAACAAAACATATAGTATAATATGACTTAAATTACTATAAATTACATATATTTCAAATACTATAATTACCCAAGAAAACCTTTTTTTCTTATTAAGCTAATTGATCTTTTATATTAAGAGAAAGTTTGTAGAGCTCATTAAGATGTATCTAATGGTAGTTAGATCATCCAAATTGGCTCAGTAGATGTTGAGATATCATTAAAAAATATGTTAACAACTATATAAAATTTCTATATATTGTTTTTATAAAAATTTTATATAATCGTTAACATGTTTTTAAATGATATCTCAACATTTACTAGGCCAATTTGGATGATTTAATCACCATTAAGTGCAACTTAATGAGCTCTGCAACTTTCTCTTAATACAGAAGGTCAATTAACTTAATAAGAAAAAAGGTTTCCTTAGATGATTGTAGCATTTGAAATATATATAATTTATATAGTAATCTTAGTTATATTATATTATATATTTTGTTTTGTTGACTTATGAATCATCAATTATAAATAATAAATTTGTAAGAAGATTTTTTTTTTTATCTTTGCAATGTTGCAAACAGATGAATTTTTATTAGATATTTAGTAGTATATTCTGTATCACCACTACAATTATACTAATCCATAACCTCATACTGCTTCATTGAAGATTACTTAGATCGATATGTGCTATACTACTTGTGCATTAATTCTATAGATAATCCAGTAGGATTCTTATACTATCAGGTTGCCCTAGAAAAAGTGTAGTATATACTCTCTAATCTTTTTACTATATATCTTATACATTTTCAGACTAAGCATTTTGGTAACTTATGCCAAGTTTGAAAACAAGTATTTACAAGCCAAGGTTACTATAGTTATCTACTACTGCCCTTGTAGAGTTTACCCAAACCCTGATACCTACTTTATAGACTTCTTTCCATACCTTTGGAAATCTAAACTTCTAATCTAATGGCCTGAAAGGGCAGAATCCTTCCTCTAGTTGTTTGTTGACCTGATTAATATAATGCTTAGCTAAACACTTGGTTCCGTCTAGTTTTTTAGTATTCGGTTGATCATCCTTTATATAGTAACTATCAAAGATTTGTGCTATCTCTCCACTTAGGTCTTGCCAAGCAAGCTTTTGTATCTTGTAAATTCATTAGATTTATTCAGTAGCTTTAGTCAGGTTTTGTATAAATTATATATCACACTACATGTTTTACTACCTTCCAATACAAGCTGATACAACTCTTATTACAGATTCTATAATCTAATAGGATATGTTTTTCTAAATGCATTTTCTGTAAATTTTAATTTTTGTCACTGGTGGGATTCGAACTCTAGTTTTGCTACTTGAAGTGTGATAATTTACCAACTTCACTAAGTCACCACACCCTTTAAAAAGAATTTTTAAAATAATTATTTGTTATAAAGTTATTAGACATTTAAAAATTGCTAAAAAATTAAATGTTTTTTGCTATTCCGTACTGTGTTTACTTAAATACTAAAATTAGATTGCTATTTTTTGTATCTTTTTTAATGCTTTTTTTAATATTTTTTTTTTGTTTTTTGGTATTTTTTTTGATATTTTTTTAGTTTTGTTACTTTTTTAGCTTCTTTTATCATTTTTTAATTATTTTTCAATATATTTTTTTGATACTTATTTTGATATTTTTTAGTTGCTTTTTGATATTTTTTTACTTATTTTATTGTTTTTTAATGTTTTTTATTACTTTTTATATTGTTTTTTTTTATTATTATTCTTTATTTTTTTAATATTAAAATTAGAGAAATTGCTAATTTTTATCAGTAGTAAAGTTCACTAAGGTGCTATATCTCAAAAACATGAGGCTGTTGCAGTAGAAAGGGCCCAAACTCACCTGAAAATCAAAATTGAGTTTTTGCAAAATTCAAATAAATTTCGAGACGAGCTATATTTTTCTATTATAAATGGAAATTGATTTGCTTAATAAAAAATTGAAATATTTATAAAATTTTTTTTAGAAGATTTGTACATCACAAAATTATCTGATATAACTAACTAATCAAATCTCAGAATTTTTGATTGACCTGGATCAGTCCGAACAAAATAAACATGATTTTCTCAAAATTATATATTTTCAAATTTCAGCCCTTTCTACTGTAATGGCCCCACAAATTTTTTTTTTATAATTTGGCTGTTCTGCCACTTTTTATTGAGATTAAACTATACTAAAAAATTTATATTCCCTAATAATAGCTATACTTAATTCACCCGTAAAGTGATACACCCATGCTTTCGCCAGGTGTGATTTGTCTCAGTAGACTTCAAGCCTCTCTCCGGGCTTCTAACTTACTAGAGGTTATCCTTTGGTCATGGGCTGGTGCTACACACTGTATCCAAATTAACTTTTTCTTTTTGCAAAATGAATATAAACACAAATAGAAAGGTATAACAAAAATGGGAAAATACTACTGCGTCGAGTTCTGGTTCACCTAAACCAATAAAACTAAATAAAACAGATAATGAAAAAAAAGAAAAACAAAAGAAAAGAAAACAAAGATAGCACTATTAAATCTGTGCGAGATTGTAAAAATTATATAGTACTACAAATAATTTAGACTAAACTCTACGCTAGTTATTTATGTCTATATCCAGGATGTAAAAATATCAAAAACCATCTGGTCTTGAAGTAGAGCTCCAAGGGTTGAAACTTCTAGATGCTATCCCATCCCGTCGACACGTCTTCTGCAATGTTTCAAACATTACCACATTATCTTACACTATAACTAAAAGTAGACATGTATACATATACATATCTTTCCTTTTTCGGCAGTGAATATTGTTGTTGATCTTTTGATGAAAGTACGCTATTTTTCCTACTTTTTGGTGAAATTTCATAAAGACCAAGAGTGAGATATGGAAGAGGGTTTCAGTTTGCAGATAGCCTTAAACTTCGGTAAAGAATGTGTTGAAAACTCACTTGTTGTTCTCTTTAGACCAACTATCTTTAACTTCATTAGCAGAAGCAGAGCTTCTATTAAAATTTTCTGTACAAGGGCACCACCTTCTTGCCAGTTATCTTGTATAAGAATGCTTTTAACTTGCATACTGAATATACAGAGAAGTTCAAAGGAAACAT